GGGCTGGGGATTTAGCCCAGTGGTGCCGCCACCTGCCTCGCAAGTGCAAGGTCCTGAGTTTGATCCCCATTACCAAAATAAGTAAAATAAAATAAAATAAGCCCTGTGCCACAGATCCTTCTGGATGATGGATGTGTCCCACTCTGCACTGACCAGCGTGGCAGCTGTTAGCCAAGGTGATTCATGTGACCAAGGAAGTGCATTTTTACTTTAGTTAAACCAGTTTAAATTTACATGTGGCTAGTGGCTGCGGGGCTGGGCAGCACAGCTTGAGATCTGACTTTCGGTTTGTAGGAGATACAGAGAAAAGAAGAGAAATGGTGCCTGCAGCAGCAATAAGACCCAGTCAGAGGGGACAGCGTCCCCTGGGCCTGGGCCAGCCTTGGAGACCCTGATGAAGTCGACAGCTTACAGGGAAAGACTTCTTTTCGTTTTTAAAAAACTGGGTAAATTTGAATATGGAGTGGGTATTAGATGACATTATGGAAGTGATATAGGACCTCCAAATGATATAGGGGAAGTAATATAACTCTCAACCTGCTAGATATCAGATACAACAAGTTTGTGTTCCCCAAAATTGAATGAATTCTAAGGAACAACTGAGGATGAAAGTAGGAAAACTTTATTGAGAGGGAGAGATTTTAGTTCCTGAGAGACAGGAGGAGCCCGAGAGTGTGGCTGTGGACCCCACTTCACGGAAGTTTTACAGAGCAAAATCATGAGGTGGGTACAACGTGGGACAAAACTATGATCAACGAATAAGATTACAAGTATAGCCACTTAGGCAATATTCATCCAATGGGGAAGCAAGTAACTAGCAAGTGTATATGGAAAAAACAAAGAACTTTTTTTGAAAGGGGTGGATTCAGAGGTCTTGGTCACCCACTTGTCTGTCTAGACTTTATTGGGTCAGGTGTGGCCACTTTTATCCCTTGGGGAAGTATGTAGGCCTGGTCATTTTGTCTTTATCTTGAGGCCTGGCCTCCAACAGATGCACCACCAGCCACAGTTGTGTTTTTATCTTTTGTATTGACTCTCCCGAGGGCCTAGCCCTGTCTGACTTCCTGTGGTATTTCTACCTAATTTAGCTGTCTGTAAAAGAAGTATAGCTGTTTTTATTAAGTGTGCTAATGGATTATGGTGTTGTAGGACAGTGGTTTCGATTTTTACAACTAGAATATAAAATGATGACACATCATGATTTCTGTAATTTATCCTAAAATAGTTACACAAAATGGAGTAGGACTTGGAGTATAGCTCAGGGATGGAGCTCTTGTTAGTGCACATAAGGCCTTGGGTTTGATCCCCAGGACTGGGGGAAGAAAAAGTCATGCAAATATGGTGAGAGATTGATAATTTTTATTTATGTTATTATTATTATTTTTCGGTGTGCTAGGCATCAAACCCAGGGCCTCATGCATGCTAGGCAAGTACTCTGCTACTGGGTTTGTCACCAGCCCTTAAAAAGATTTAAATGTAGGTAATGAGTATAAGAGAGTTATTACATATTCTTTATTTCTCTGACTGTGTGAATTTTCATAATAAAAGTTAAACTATACATACAAATGTGAACTTGTGAAACAGGAGCTAGTATTTTATTTATTTATTTATTTATTTATTTATTTATTTATTTTGATACTGGGGCTCAAACTCGGACCTTGTGCTTGCAAGGCAGGAGCAGGACCACTGAGCTAAATCCCGGGCCCAGGAGCTAGTATTTTAGAGACAGTGAAAAAACTATGAAGGGCTTCACCGAGATTTTATTTTGAATAACAAAGACAAAAATTGTGGGCATAAATTTGTTTTATCTTATATTTAACAAAATTTAGAATATGTTAACATTTATAATAAACAATGTTTTTTTTTTTTGGCATAAATTCTGCGAAAAGTTCCATGATATCACAATGCAGCACCATTCATTTTGCGTTTGACTTATAATGAAATTAGAGAAAAGGTCCAAAATATTGAGCCTCCATCCTTTCCCTCATGGCTTTCTTAATTCTTTCTTGATATATCTACATTTTCATTCCATTTGTATCCTTTAGATGTAGGTCATCCTTAAGTGAATTAGCCAAAAGCAGAGACTACTCTGTTCTTCATGCTATTCATCACTCTGCATATTTTGAGGGGTGTCTAAGTGTAAAAAAACAAGCTGTTTCAGGGCTGGGGTGCAGCTCAGTGGCAAAACTCTTCTGCCTTGCCTGGGTCAGGTCCTGGGTTCAATCCTTAGCACTTCAAACAAACAAAGCTGATTTATGATACTGTTACTCAATTCAGTACTTCGAGCTACCGAGCTCACTCTCCACTTCATATTCATTTCAGATCTTTTATTTTTTTTCAAACCATTGTATTTTGAAACTCCCTTTGAGTCTCAGCATCAGTTTTCTTTTCTTCAGTTGTTGGCTGGTCCATGGTTGTGCTGGCCTCATGTATCAGTGGCACTGTGTGGGAATTGTGGGGCTTGAGCATAACCTTTGTTTATTCGGGGAATTGTGCAGCAGGAGCAAAATTCACGGTTCACTGTCCAGAGGATTTGCGTTGTGGATTGTTAACAGGATGTGAGGACTGGCTTGCCCTGGGGTAATGTGGGAATGATGCTTTGTGGTTCCTGTAGGGAACTGTTTTATTAGTGATTAATTCCTTAGTGAATATTTTAACCTTCTGACGACTTCTTCTCTAAGTAGCCTTGTAAGTGCAGGGACTTGGGGAAAATATCTTCAGATAATCAGCACCCTCCCTATCTTGAGTTTGGAGCTTCAGAGCTTGTTTTGGTTACAACTCAATGGGTGTAGATGCTGCTGCTGAGATAGCACACAAATTTGACAGTTACATAAGAAAATAATCTCATACACACTCAAAAGCAGCTGGAGACAAGAAAGTTAACCTGAGAATTTGCATACTGTGTCCCTAATAGAAAGAGCTGCCTTTGTGCTGGCTGAACTGCTGCAGAATTTATGAGATAGGAGAGACCAGTGGGTGAAACAGGAGAATTTATTTAGGTGTGGGTTCCTATCCCAAGGCTGAGCCCCAAGCAGAGAAGAGGATCTAGTTTTATACATGTGGCCAGAGGGGTCTTCCTAGTGTTATGGAACTGATGGAGGGGCAAGTGAGTTTCCAGAAGCAGGACAAAGGCAGTTAATCCCATAGTGACGGTTTTGTAACTGACCATATCTTGGTGGAAAAAACAGGATCCTGTAGAAGCGAGGGGTCATAAAACCTTACTAACAGGAACCAAAAAAAGAGTTAGTAACAGCCACAGGGAGGGGGGAAGTCTGAGGGGAACTGCTTAAGGGTGGGGAGAGTTGTTTTTCCTTTTTTTTTAAAAAAAAAAAAATTCTGCTTCAGAATGACCTAATACTTTCCTATGTAGCACTTGGCAGAAGCCAGAGAATAACAGAATGTATATATTTCAGTGTTGGGGATCTGACCCAGGGCCTTGTACATGCTAAGCAAGCACTGTATCACCAAGCTATGTTCCCAGCCCAGAGTTTTTTTTGCTGTACTAGGGATTGAACCCCAGGCCTTCCCATGGAGCTGCCTCTGCAGCCCTTTTTTATTTTGTTTTGAGACAGTGTCTCCCTAAGTCACTAAGTTTCCAATGTAAAGCTCAAACTTCCCATCCTCCTGCCTCAGCCTCTCAGTTCTGGGATCACAGGTATGCAACATTTTAAAATCTGGGCTAATTTGAATTCTTTTTTGGGCGGGGGACCAGGGATTGAACTCAGGACCTTGTGCTTGCGATGTGGGCACAGTGCCACTGAGCTACATCCCCGGCCCTGGGCTAATTTGATAAGCAAAAAAGATATTCTCTCTCTCTCTCTCTCTGTTTTTCTCCTTTCATTTCCTCTCTGTCAGGGGGATGAACTCAGGGTCTTGTGCATGTGCAGATTCAAGGCAAGTCCTCCATCATTGAGCTAGATCCCCAGCCCCATCTGTGCTTAATACATTTATTGGATATCCATTATCCAGTCCTTTTCCTTTTTCTGCTAATGGAGACTTGGTTTTGTTAGTAGGTTTCTCCCTTAGGTAAGACACCCACATTTGCAACCTTCCTAGTAGCTGTAAGTGCTATGTAATATTCTGACCAATGAACTGGAACTCGTGTTGGGACTTCTGGGAAGTCTTTTGCATTTGTCAATAGATTGGAAAAGACAGGTGATGATTCATGTCCCTTCCCCTTTTCTCTTGCCTTGAATGTAGGTAGGATGCCAGGAACTAGGGCAGCCATTGTCCCTTTGTAAGGTAGCAAGCATGAAGGGTGCTCAAGATAAATAAACAGCCTAAGCCACAGTAAATCTCTTACTTGCAGTTGAAAGTATTCCTAAGTGATGTATTGAGTGAGGCTGAACTTTGTGTGCCAGCTGGCTGGCTGCAACGTGCATTCTGTGTGTGATAGTCTGGCTGCTTTTGGAGGGAAGGGACTACCTGACAAGAATACCACTCTGTGCTGCAGGGTGGATAGAGTGCATGCTCACTGTGTTTTTTTGTTTTTTTTTTTGTACCGGGGATCCAACTCGGGACCTTGCGCTTGCGAGGCAGGTACCGGAACCACTGAGCTAAATCCCCGGCCCCTCACTGTGTTTTGAAGGAATGGATGACATAACATATTTAGGACAGGGCTGTAATTTGTATGTCTCACGGCCAGGAGGCTCTGAATCCCTGGTGGTCTATGCATTACTGTTATAACTGGTGGCACAGGACAGCAGTACAAGCTGCCTGATGGGCTAGTCATGCATGCACCACCGAAGGCTGAAGCTAGTGGTAATGTGTTAATTCCACATGCAAACTATTTTTCTGGTGGAATGTCCAGGGTGACTGTTTATTTTCATTTTTTTTTTTTTGGTACCGGGGACCGAACTCGGGTCCTTGCGCTTGCACGGCAGGTGGCACAAACCACTGAACTAAATCCCCGGCCCTAGGGTGACTACTTATTTTCTAGAGTGACTCCTCCAAGTCATTTCCTGAACCAATGTTCTTAAACTTTTTTTTTTTGGTACCAGGGATCAAACTCGGGAACTTGCACTTGCCAGACAGGCGCTGGAACCACTGAGCTAAATCCCCGGGCCTTAAACTTTTAAGGTAAATTAAATTTTATTAGCTTTAATTTGATTGTTATTGCAGTGCTGGGGACCAAACCCAGGACCTCATGCACACTAGGCAACCATTCTACCAGTGAGCTACACCTCCAGCCCGACTTTCTGATCTTTTAATTCCTTTATCAGGCCCAATAATTCTCACTTTCTAAGGCTGTGTTTTGTATATTTTTCTCATCACGACTTACCTAGCACATGATAGCATTTGTTGCTTAACACAGCATTGTAAGTGGGTGCAGGCTGCTTGCAGCAAGTATAACACGAGGCTTTCTTTCACGTTTCCTGTTATTCCATAACTAAGGGTATAATTGCACAGCTAATTGGGCTGTGGCTATACTGGTTGGTAAGCTCTGCTCTGCAGAATTGAAGGCTTGTCTACTTTCCAGTGAAGAGTATCATGAATGGGTTTAAATTTATGCCAATAGAAAGACAGATGCAACTGTGTAACAGATATAAATATTTTGCTGCCACCTAGTGGTCTGAAATGGACTTGGGTTTCCTTTTTTTTTTTTTTTTTT